TGCTGGTTTCTAGAATTTCACTGGGGCTTGAGCTACCGCAGGACTTGTTGTGCCCCATGAGACAGGCTCTGGGGGAATTCAGGGGTGAGGATCCGTTTCCCTCAAACGGGAGCTGGGGACCCCAGTGTACGTGCCCTGCCTAAGCTTCTGTTGCTGGCAGAGAGAGCTTCCTTGGTGGAGATGGGCGCTGAATGGGAGAGAGTGGCCTACAGGGGGAACAGCAGCGAACAGCTCCAAGCCCCAGTGTCAGCCTGTTCTTCCTTTGTCCTCCCAAGCATCACCGTGGTCACCTGGAACGTGGGCACAGCCATGCCTCCGAACGATGTGACATCCTTGCTGCACCTCAACACAGGCGAGACAAGCGATTCGGACATGATTGCCATTGGGTAAGAGGATGAGGTGCAGGGTCCCCTCCACTGTCCCACCATGTCCCTTTTTGGGGGATCCCCATAGCCCTGGGGAGCAGGGAATGGAAGAGCTGCAGCCCCAGCCTCCCTGGGGCATGGTGAGCAGGGAGGGGTATCCTAAGTGGTAAAATATCAGAAGAGGTGATGGAGAGTCAGCTTCTGGTGAAATGAGAGCGCTAAGCAGGACTGGAACCCTTGGAGACTGTGACCCCCTGAAGAGCCTGTAGCTGGCTGGGCTGTGCAGAGCTGGGCCTGAGTGAGCACTGCTCCTGCTGTGAGCGCTGGTAGTCCTGGGGACAGGTCTTTGGAGGCATTTAACTCACCTGCCAGAGTCCTCTGGGAGCATTTTCCTCGTCTCGGCTTTTGCCTGTGGTGTGCAAGCCTCAAGGGCACAAATCTGCTCTCTGGCAGCTGGATTGGCTCAGTGCCCCTGGCACCACTTAAGTGCTGGCACGACGCTGTGGTGAGGCTTTACTGGTGTGTCTGGTGAGGCAAGCTCTGCCAGAGTCTGAGGGCAAACTGGTCCCTCAGGGGTTGCTGCGGTGCATGTGGATTCCTGCTCTGGCCAGGAACGTGCTGCCTTTGCCCAGGGAGTGGGAAGCAGCCTCTGCCTGAGGTAGAAGAGCTGACTCTGCCTCTAGGAGGCTCCCAGGGACTCTCCCAGTGCTGCTGGCCCTGGGAAGAGAGCAGCATAAGGCTGAGGCTGTCAGAGCTACGGTGCTGTGTTGGAGCCAGTTTCCCAGTCCTTTCAGCCTTGCATGTGTGTGGGCTGGGGCTGTGGAGGTAAACCCGAGCCAGGATGGTTGGGGTAGGGGCTGAGAGAAAGGGACTCGCTGAGGCTGTGTCCTGGCCAGGGCAGGGTGTCCTGCTGCTCCCCACCTTCAGGATATCTCTGCCTGGCTGTGTCCTTCATCTGTCCCATGTCTTTGTGCCCGAGAACTTGATCTTTTGGGGAAGAGACATTTCTTGATTCTGCTGTGGATGTTCTCCTTCCCTTTCTTCGCTAATTGCTGAGCCGGGAGGAGCGCTGTTAACCTTCCGTATGCTGCTGCCACTGCTGAGCTTGGTGGCTGGGATGCACCTGGACATCCTGTGCTGAAGTACTGGTGAGACTTGGCTTCTATGTAGAGCCGAATGCAGCTGAAATGTCCTGTAAGCCCTTCTTGTGCCTAGAGATAGGCTTTAGACTGCTCCCCAGTCTTGTGCAGCCCAACTGCTCCTGCTTTCAAAAGTGACAAGGCCTCCAGGGTTCAGGGCCAATTGTGCCTTACTCTAGCACGTGGCCCAGCATTGCTGGAGTAAGGATACAGCTGGTTTGTGCTCTAAAGCCAGGACCCTCTTCCCTTGCTCTGCCCGCCCTGGCCCTGCTCCCCAGCCCTGTGCTTTGGCACCTCTCCGAAGCAGCTCTCGCTTTCTGGGATGCAGGCCCCTTCCTGGTGTCACTCAGGGGCCTGTCCCTTTCCTCCCAGGCTGCAGGAGGTGAACTCCAAGATCAACAAGCGCCTGAAGGATGCCCTTTTCACAGACCAGTGGAGCGAGCTCTTCATGGATGTGCTGAGTACCTTCCACTTTATCCTGGTAAGGAGGTCCTGCAGGGGCTGGGCTCCCTCCCTGCCTGCCCAGCCGGTGGGGCCGTGGGGAGAGAGAGCTGCTCAGAGGAGGTGGCTGGCAGAGCCAACAGCCCGCAGCCATCTGAGCAGCGTGGGGGCCGAGCAGTGCCTGTTGCCAGTGTGCTCTCTGGCTTGTGCTGTCCCGCTCCCGTTCCTGTGCCTGAGGCTTTCCCTGTGGTGCTCTGGAGGCACTTCTTGTCTGCTGCATTGTGCAAGGGCAAGGAGGTGACCATGGGAGCAAGGCTCTGCAGGGGATTTGCCCTAGAGTGTACACGAGCCTTAGTGTTGCAGGAAGATCCTATTGTATTTGAGAAACACAGTGGTAGTCAGCGCTGTGGACACCTGCATTTCTGAGAGACCTCACCTTTCCAAGATCCTGTTGAAGACCATTACCTTGGTCTGGTTATTTCACGCTCATGCCAGTTTGACATCTGCTTTTTTTTTGGAATGCCCCAGAGCTGCCAGCATGGCACAAAGACCTGGGCAGAAGGGTAAACCAGAGCCAGCAGCGTGGCTGAGGTAGCCCCTGAGGACTGGAACTAACAAAGCCACATCTGTGCCCCATAGCAAATGGATTGTGGTGCCCAGGAAGATGCAAAGTCTGGCTGAAGCTTTCTCTGCAGCTGGGACTTGTACAGGCTCTGTCGTGTGGGATTTTGTCATGTCTAACCAACAGTGAGGTCAGGCTGCAGCCTTTCTGCGTGATAATTTCTTTCTTCACCTCAGCTGCCCTTGTGAAACTCGTAGGAACTCATTTCTCTTTGTGTCTTCTCCTCCGAGTCCGGTTTGATTAGGCTCTGCCAGGAGATTCAAAAGCTGGGAGGGTGTAATCAACCACCAGCATTCGGGGGGTGCGGGTGCGCGTAGATCCTGAACTAAACATGCTGTTGGATATCTGTGAGATGGGGGGGGTGCAGAGGATAGAGGTGTTGCCCCTGTGTCCTGGAGGTGAGGGGAGCCATCCCTGTCCCTCTGGGCCCTGCTGTGGCTGCCGTCCTGCTTCAGCGCCCGTTCCCCTTCCAGGTCAGCACGGTGCGGATGCAAGGTGTGATCCTGCTGGTATTTGCCAAGTACTACCACCTCCCCTTCCTGCAGGACATAGAGACAGACTGCACGAGGACAGGGCTGGGAGGCTACTGGGTGAGTGTGGCCCCAGGGGTGGTGGCAGGGGGCTGGCTTCCGCCGGAGTCACGGGATCTTCTCGGTGCAGGGCAACAAAGGTGGGGTGAGCATTCGCCTCTCCATCTTCGGCCACATGGTCTGCTTCCTGAACTGCCACCTGCCAGCGCACCTGGAGAAGGCGGAGCAGCGCAAGGAGGACTTTGCCACCATCCTGCACATGCAGCAGTTTGAGGGGCGTGTGGCCAGCGGCATCCTGGATCACGAGTGCGTACCCCACCGCTCTGCTGCCAGGGCTCTAGTGCCAGCCCCTGTCCTTGACCTGCTCCAGGTAGGGTCTGTCCCCAGAATCCCAGTGCTCCTTGGAGATGAGGTCTTGCCTGCAGAGCTGCACAGTTCTCCTGTGGCCTGGTGGGGACCTGGTACCCGGTGGGGTAGGTGTTAAGAGGGGCCCTTCGTTCCTGCTGTGGCACAGCTACACCTGGTGCAGCTTCTGCCGTGCTGGTGCTGCTGGGCTTTGGGTCTGCCGAGGTGGAGGGCCCAGCTCTGGTAGGTCTGATGTCAGTAGGTGCCTCGCAGTGAAATTTTCCCCACCCTGTTTCTGCCCAGGGAAGTCAGGCCAGCTTGGTTGGTGGGGCTTGGTCCTAGCTGAGGAATCTCGTCAGGGCTGAGGCTGCCTCCGGGCTGAGGATGTCTTTCACCCCCACTGTACTGCCTGGCTCCAGTAGCCTTGGCCATGCCAGCCCACCTCCCTCCCTCACACCCACAGCCTCGTGTTCTGGTTTGGGGACCTCAACTTCCGCATCGAAAGCCTTGACATACGCTTTGTGAAATACGCCATCGACA